CAAAAAAAAAACCCCTATAAAGCACGGTTCAATTTGCTCCAACAGGGGAAACAATTCCTTTCCGATCCCATAAGGCAATCAGACATTCCCTGGATCAGCAATCTCTAATGTTTTTTAGTTTAAAAATGTTACTATCTAGTTATATTCTGTGCATTTTGGAATGCATCCATATTTCTTTTTAAACAGTTAACTAATCTTTCTAGAAGTGGTTCCTGAGGAATACGACCATCAAAGCTAGGGATGGTCAAATACAGCGATACATTACAGCTCTCCTCTCCTTTCTGTATCTCTCCTCTGGTGTACCCTCTGCTCCTCCACGTCTCAAATATCTCCAGTATCTCAGAGTCACCAATGACAGATTTCTAAACAACCGGCCAGCTCAGAAGAAAGGATAGCAGAGACTCATAGTGTAGTAAATAAGACCCCAATTTATTAGACAAAGGATTCAAAACACTCACTTGTTGTCAGATACAAAACGCTACCATCAACATTAGAAGCCCTCCGGCATACAGAAATCTTCACCTTCTTCTCACTTTCTGTGCCTTTTATGAGTTTAGTTGCCCTATCTCTGCATGGACACTACATGGTACCACTTCTCTTGCCTCCTGGAAGTGACTGTTGGCATCTGTTCTCTGTCTCCTAAATACACTGCACACATTTCTCTATCTGCTCATCATCTGTGGTCAGCATTGGCAGCCTCCTTACCGCCTCACTACAGGTTTCCTTTCAGTCTTTGCTACATTTGCAAAAGCTGCAGTAAACATTATGGATTCAAGAACTTTACTACTGCAAACACTGAATGCAAATAATTAATGAAAACAGATGGCTGGCGTCATGCAGAGTGCATTTTGCATGATATTGTATCACCAATCCAGACACTGACAGACTCATCACAGAAATGCTACCTTGTGTAATAGGCATATTACTGCATGTCCAGATGTTCTTTTCTTGGTGACAGCTTTCTGGTCGAAGGGCAATTACATTTTCATAATGCTTTCATTGCTCAATGCATTGTCAATACACTGCTGTTTTCTCCATTTTAATCCTTTGCTCTTATTCTACAATTTCTGATAGATTTCCCTACTTTTCCCCATGTGCTCATATGAAATCCGCATTCTCTCTTGCTTGGCAGATTTATCACAATACATTTTACTCTGTGGTCTGAAAACCTTGTGATCGCTCTTCTGAGTCAGCTTAGTGATGTGATGAGGTAAGCTATTCTGCATAAATTTATTGAAGTGTATGGAGACAACCACATTTCAGGGACATGGCAAGTTTTGAATAAGATGATCAGCATGAAATGAAAAGAAATAGTAATGGGACTACTGTGGCTGCATGGGGTGCAGCAGTCCCAGGCCTCTAATGGTGGACTTGGCCAGGGCATTCCCTAGACCTGTTCATAAGTTATCAAGGGCCCTCTGAAGGATATGTTTGTGTGTGGGTAGGCTTCTTATGACCAACACTCCAGTGTTTATTAAAAAGCTTTCCAGTACAAGGGAGGCCACAAATTTAGCAAATAAATGGTGCTTCATGGTACTTTAAGATGATAGGAGAGTGGTCTATCTGGGCTACTACCTTATGGAGTCTAGGGAGCTCAAATATGTTCTTGGGTAGACTCTTCCTGAACACATAGAAGTACCGCTACTGTAAGAAAAAAATATGTTTCTAAAAAGCCAACATTTTTATATACACTGCCTATCCAAAAAAAAAAGTCACACACTGATATTTAATTGGATCACCTTTAGCTTTGATTACGGCACGCATTCACTGTGGCATCTTTCCAATAAGCTTATGCAATGTCACAACATTTATTTCCATCCAGCATTGCTTTAAATTTTCACCAAGATCTTGTAATGATGATGGAAGAGTCAGACCTCTGTGTAAAGACTTCTCCAGCACATCCCAAAGATTCTCAATGGGGTTAAGGTCTGGACTCTGTGGTGTCCAATCCATGTGTGACAATGATGTCTCATACTCCCTGAACCACTCTTTCACAATCAGAGCCCGATGAGTCCTGGCATTGTCTTCTTGGAATATGCCCAATGTGACATCAGGGAAGGAAAATCCATTAATGGAAGAACTTGATCATTCAGTATATTCAGGCAGTAGCTGACATCAATTGTTGCCAGTTGAAATATTTTAATCACTGCAGTAATTATCCAATGGAAGGCCCTTACCTATTTGCTTAGCTAAATCCTGGAAATTACTTTTTTTCTGGACAGGCAGTATAGACCCAAAAGCTTGATTGTGAGCACATAACACATCTCCTAATTAGCATGGTGTGGCACACTGGGAAATGTGTGTTCATATGGATCAGCTATCTCGGCTTTTTAATATCAGTAAAAGGACACCTAATACTTATTTTTCAATTTGCCTATAAATTATAAGAGCTTTTACCTTATGTCGTGAACAAAACCTCCGACAAGCTCATACATTTATAAGTCACTACTCATTATCAAGAGGCTTTAAAGTGACAACGGCAGATGTGCCGAGTCTATGCGAAGCTGTTTGCCATGTCAGGATGTGCAGCATGTTACCTTTTCTACAGTCTTTAGTAAAGGATGAAGTTGTTTCTAAGATGAACCTGTTTAAAGCCCAACTCCAGCCATTTGGAATGAGATTACCTGTTTAAAGTTTATATTGTGGTCTGTGACTGGGGACATTCTCCTTACTTCTTTTACAGTCACCAGAGAATGAAACAAGGGTTATCTCATCGAACCAGAACATTAAAATTATAGAAAACTAGCATGAAGAAGCGCTAGAGAACCTCTGTGGTATGTGTCCTTATTGAGGCGAGTGCCCTTACGTCTAGTAGGTTCAGCGGTACCTGTAAGGTCAGGACGCACGTTACTATTATATACATATGCCTGCTTCATGCTATTCTCCATACGGGCCTGCAATATTCAGTTGCATTAAGTTTTGCTGTTGATTATGCAGGATTTGTGCCTCAACATTGTAATTACAAATGTATAGATGGGACAGAGTGACTACATCTCTCCTACCTCACATGGATATATAGTCAGGCGAAATCCCACCAACTGAGGCACAGACAGGACAAAAGAAAATACTGCTATATATTCTTCTCATTACCCAATCTATCCAAACCTTTTTAAATGGTTTGCCTGAAGTTCCAGTTTAAAGGCATATCCAGCATTTTGGAAGGAATTGGAAGAAGTAAACATTGAACTACAAGTGTAGTGACATCACCACGCTTGAGCTTTATTGAGATCTACAAGTGGCAGATGGGCTTGGAGTCTTCCTTTCACAGATCTGTGACACTGTGCGTGGCTCCACTTGCACAGGCGAGGTGAGTTTAAGAAAATAACCCAATAATTTGGGTAAGGGGGGCAGTTTGGGGGTCAGGCTTGGGGTGCAGACTGTGACCATGTTTCATGTTACACTGACCCAAATTATTATACAGTAGGGGGGAACAAGTATGGGGGAGAAGCAAGGAGGGACCTTGTGCGTGCTCTGTAGTATGGTCAACTAGTTGGATTTCACCCAAATTATTAGCCAACCTAATTATGAGTGTAATATGAAATATGGCCAGAAAGGTGGAATCAGCCTTCAAGGCTGGGTCCACACTGCTGTGCTGTGGTGCCATTAGTTCTTAATGGCACCCCAGAGATCTTTCTAAAAGACATGCATTGCAGCACACCACTATGGATGGCAATAAACCACTGCACCGTGGTTCTCTGTTTTACAAAATAGCACATGCACCATTTTTTTGTGTGTTCTAGTGTGTATGATAGCCCATTGGACCTATATGATTTTTGGTGGTTTCAGAGTCGTTTACTGACAGCACCAGAGGCCAGAGTTAACAGACCATAATGGTTTACATTATACTTTCCAGTAAAAGCAGAAGCAGACAATATACAGTGCAATAAACCGGACATTTACATTTACCCATTACATTTCATATTCAACTTAGACTATACGGTTTAATTGATTTGTCCCTGATAGAAGTAAAATCAGAAGTCAAAGGTTCTCCTAGCACTGTAAATATGTGGGGCTTTGACCCAGGGTTCACTGTCTCCCCAGGGGCATACAATGTACGTGTTCTCCGTGTGTACGTGATGCTCCCCACTTCCTCCCACAATACATAGGGGTTGCTAAAGCTGACGTTTAATCTGCTTATATTTTGCCTTCCCTGATCCCCCCCCCCC